TCAATTCTGCAACTTTCAGGAGCACACATTCACTTAAAATTAAAGCATGAGATAGTTCTCTGAAAACTTCTATTCAATGTGCAGCGTCAGTCAAAAAAGTGAACAGAATGTTGGAAATCATTAAGAAAGGGATAGACAATAAGACAGAAAATATCATATTGCCTCTATATAAATCCATGGTACGCTCACTTCTTGAATACTCCATGCAGATGTGGTCGCCCCATCTCAAAAAAGATATATTGAAATTTGAAAAGGTTTAGAAAAGGGCAACAAAAATGATTAGGGGTAAGGAGCTTCTGCCACATGAGGAGAGATTAATAAGACTGGGACTTTTCAGCGTGGAAAAAAGACAACTAGGGAGGGCTATGATAGAGGTCTCTAAAATCATGACTGGTGTGGAAAAAGTAAATAAGGAAGTGTTATTTACTCCTTCTCATAACACAAGAAGTGGGGGTCTCCAAATGAAATTAATAGACAGCAGGTTTAAAACAAACAAGAGGAAATATTTTTTCCCAGCAGGCATAGTCAACCTGTCGAACTCCTTGCCAGAGGATGTTGTGAAGGCCAAGACTATAACAGGATTCAAAAAAGAACTGGATAAATTCATGGAGGATAGGTCCATCAATGGCTATTAGCCAGGATTGGCAGGGATGGTGTCCCTAGCCTCTGTTTGCCAGAAGCTGGGAATGGGTGACAGGAAACTTGATGATTACCTGTTCTGTTCATTCCCTCTGGGGCACCTGGCATTGGCCATTGTTAGAATACAAGTTACTGGGCTAGATGGACCTTTGGTCTGACCCGTTCGTATGTTCTTTGCCCCTACAAGTATCTGAATACATTAATAAATCTGGTCCTGTGTTTCTTGGCTTCATATACAGACCATAGTATTTTAAGTTTTCCAGTTACAGGGGTTCCAGGAAACATTCCCATTGTCACTGTGACTGATAAATTCTAAACTATCCTAACACCAAAAGTAGGGAGAAATACAGGAGGCATGAAAAACTGTCTTACAATTAGTATTTGACAAAGCATAGACTTTCCAACAACATACAAAAGTACAAGAGAACCATGTCAGTTAGTTACAAGTTAAGAGACACAACAAAATGCAGTTAATCCATTGGAGAGAAACACTAGGTGGGCTACCTGTCAGGGAGAAAGGGTCTCTTTGAGGTTAAATCAGTTACGAGTTTATTGATTCTTTCTATTGCTAGAAGAAAAACAAAACAAACAAACTATTTTTTTTGCCAATCTACACAATTTTGTAGATTATTATTCGTGTGGAAACCAATAACACTTCATCACTAAGACCCAACTAGATAAAAACCTGTGAAATATTCACAAGAAAATTCAGAATGTAAATATGTGAGACTGGGACAGATCTTCAGCTCCCCTCCTACCAGTATTGCAGTGCTCACGCAGTGCACAGCACCTGGAAAGCGCTCTACCATCCAGTGCCCTACCTGCCCCCTTACCCCTTTCAACTGTAGGGATATAACAGAGGTCTTGCACTCGAGTGATCCCCAGCTGGTAAAGTGTTTCATAGGGGCCATTACTGCCAGAGGGATTTAGGGCTAGATGTTCAAAGGTATTTAGACACCTAAAGATGCAGCTAAGGTGCATTATAAAATCCCATTAGGCACCTATCTGCATCTTTAGGTGCCTGAATACCTTTGAAAAATCTTGCCCTTAGCACAACCCTTAGGTTGCTCTAGGTTATGGTGGAGCTGAACTGGACTCCACCAGCCTCAGCATTAGAAGAACAGAGACGTGTCTTAGAGGATGTCTACACTGTGAGCTGGAAGTGTAATTCCCAGCTCAAGAAGACATGTGTGTGCTAGCTCTCATTGAGCTAACACACTAAATAAAAGTGTGTAGCCATGGCAGCACAGGTGGAGGAATGGCCTAGCCACCCTGAGTACATGCCCATCGAAGACCATAGGCACATACTCACGACAGCTAGCCCATCCCGCTGCTCTCACCACCAGGGCTACACTCTGCTTTTAGCATGCAAGCATGTCTCCTTGATCTGGAAATCACACACCCCAGCTCCAGTTTTAGGTATACTCTGAGCACTAGTACGATTTAGGTTTGTGCTGAGCAGAGCTTGGCCAGATGCCAGTAATGGGGCCCTGGTGAATAGGACACTGGTTCCACGTCTGAAAGATTCAGAATGAAAAATGAGCTAATTTCCAATCAGTGATTTGATGATCTCACATGGTTGCACAGCCAAACTTTTATTCTAACAGAAATGTAAAGGCTGGAGCACATAAGAGGAGGCAAGATGACAATATGGAGTATTTTTATTACATAAACAAATATATGTACATTGGGGGGAGGGAGCGGTAAGAGAGGAAAGAAAGAGTGCCTGCATTCAATTGTAAATAACATATACTATGTATTTCTATTATTTACTTGTATAGATGCGTAGGACTTTTGAGTCTCCTGTGGTTGTATTATCCGCTGCTAGTGGAACTATTGTGAAGTTATAAGGGGTACCAGGCTGTAATCCCACAATTACAGCACTTTTGTTTTGGGAGATTTGACTCCGAATAGGAGAAATTCCATTCCCATCAGTGTATATCACATATGTGTAAAGAGGAGCAGCAGTGTCATTGTTTTTCCACATTAAGGTCACTTGTTCTGTGCCGATATTTGTGGGCTCTATGTCAAAAACTGGACTGGGCTCTGTTTGGGGAAAAACAGAACACATAGATTTTTATAGAGAGAGTAGTATTTAGGAAAACTTGTAGGGCCTCCCCCCAGCAAAATTCTTAAACATTATTAATAGATATACTGGGGGAAAATGTACATTTTTTTAAAAAATGGGCATTTCCAATATAGGTGCTTGTATATGTGCTTGTTCTGTTTGGGTGTCCTTCAGTCTTATTATCTGCTGCTAAAGGATATATTTCAAATGTATAGAAAGCACCAGGCTCTAATCATTTAACTACAACATGTGTGGTTTGGAATGTTTGGTTTGTAGCATGAAAAGTGTCATTTTCCGGAATGACGATGATCCTATAGGTGCACTGAGAAGCAGCAATATCATCATTTTGCAGGTTAAATTTAATTCTCTTGTACCAAGACTTGTAAGTTGAATGTTAAAAACTGAACTGGGAGCTGTTGGAATAAAAATACAGTTATTGATACCAGAACAGGACTACTTTCCAAAAAAGAAACACGGGATCTAAGAAAAAAAATAGTGCTTGTATTTGGCAATATAATGTACCTCTCTCCATTTCCTAATTCATAATACTCATAAGGCAGCTACAATGCATCATTTGGCTTCTTATCCATTTTATACATTAGTCACAGCATTGTAGTCTAACAGGGTGTCAGGGAATTTATTATTATTATTGCTATGGCATGAAATGTATTTATTTATCCTTTCCATGGTATGGGACAAGAGGGCATGTGATGAAATTAAAAAGGAACATATTAGAATTGGAAACAAGAAACTGCTTTTTAAATGCAACATAGTTAACTTGCAGAATCACTGTTAAACAATAAAGCAAAGAGATTTGTAAATTTTCAAGAACCAAAAACCAAATTGGCATTTGTCACACAGTGTGGGATAAAATTATTATGGGTTCATTGTGCTGATGGGCCCATTTTTTGTTCTTTCATTTTTCAAGTTCCAGAGACATGTCAATTTATTCTACTGCTGTAATGAGTTTCTGTTGTTTAGCCTGCTGTGCATCTGTGTATATCAGAGCAGGTTAGTCCACTGTGGAGGACCTGCTAGACTAGCTTGTACATACAGCGTAACAACAACAACAAAAAAGGAGGGGGTATTGCATTGTACATCAAGAATATTTACACTTGGACTGAGGTCCAGAAGGAGGTGACAGGCAGACCAGTAGAAAGTGTCTAGGTGAAGAAAAAAGATTGGGGAAAAAATAGGGGCAATGTTATGCTATAGACCACTAAATCAGAATAAGGAGGTAGACAAGGCATTTCTAGAAAAAACAAGAGAAATATCCAAAAGAGAAGTAATGGAGGACTAACTATTGAGACATCTGTTGGCAGTAACATGGCAAAACACTAAATCTCCTATAAATTCTTGGACTGTATGGGGACAATTTTTCATTTCAGAAGCTGACGGAAGTAACTGGGGGCGGGGCAACCATTTTAGACTCGTGACTGAACAACAAGGAGGAATTGGTTGGGAATCTGAAGTTAGAAGAGCGAAACTGATCTTCAAATTATAGATTTCATGATTGTAAGGAAAGGAAGGAGAGAGCAGCAGAAAAAGGACAGTGGACTTCTAAAAAACAAACTTAACAGACTGCCCAGCAATGTTTGGACTGGCAGACCAAAAGAGTTTGCTGGCAATGCAGACAAGCTGGTGTGTTAGGAAATCGTCACACAGCTTAGTAGTAGCAAAACTCACTTGCAGAGACTGAGGGGGTAACACACTAACTCATAATTCCGGGAAATCCAGAAGACTATCACAGTGAGATTTACTAAAGTGCTTAACTGGGAATGCAACCCGTTGGGAACTAGGCTCCTAGCCTGTTCAGAGGCTTTTGTAAATTCCACCTGGCACCTCTTTGCCCCAGGAGGTACCTGAATACCTTAGTAAATCTGGCCTGTGTTCCTCAACTTCATGTACAGATCATGGTATTTTAAGTGTTCCAGTTACATGGGTTCCAGGAGCCATTCCCATTATCACTGTGACTTGATACATTCTGAGATATCCTAACATCAACGTGGGGAGAAACACAGGAGGCATGAAAAACTGCCTTGCAAATGGTATTTGACAAATCACGGACTTTCCAACAACATACAAAGATATAGGAGAACCTTGTCAGCTAGCTATAAGTTAACAAACATAAAAAATCCATTGGCGATAAACACTAGTTGGGCTACCTGTCCAGAGAAAGGATCTATTTAATCAACTTCATTAATTCTTTCTACTGACTGAAGTAAAAGAAAACAAAAACAAATATATTTTTTTGACAATCTACACAATAATGTACTTTGGGGTGCTCACATATTGTGTGTGTGGAAAACATTAACACCTCATCACTAAGACCTGCCTAGATAAAAACGTGAAATATTCACAAGAAAATTCAGAATGTAAATGTGTGTGTGTGTGTGTGTGTGTGTGTGTGAGAGAGAGAAAGAGAGACTGGGACAGATCTTCAGCGCCTCTTCTACGAGTTTTGCAGTGCTCACGCAGTGCACAGCACCTGGAAAGCGCTCTTAATGGGGCATTTTTGATCTCCCAGGCTTATGGAAACTCCTGGGGGGATTGAACTGGCATAGGTGTCTCTGTGCTACCCATCTAGTGCCCCACCTGCCTCTTTACCCTTTTCAAGTGTAGGGGTAATCGAGGAAAGAAAGAGTGCCTGCATTTAATTGTAAGCAACATGTACTATGTATTTCTATTGCTTACTTGTATAGATGCGTATGACTTTTGAGTCTCCTTTAGTCATGTTATCCGCTGCTAGTGGAACTATTGTGAAGTTATAAAGGGTACCAGGCTGTAATCCCACAATTAAAGCACTTTTGTTTTGGGAGGTTTGGTTCCGAGTAGGAGAAATTCCATTCCCATCAATGTATATCACATATGTGTAATTAGGAGCAGCAGTGTCATTGTTTTCCCACGTTAAGGTCACTTGTTCTGTGCCGATACTTGTGGACTCGATGTCAAAAACTGGACTGGGCTCTGTTTGGGGAAAAACAGAACACATAGATTAGAGAGTAGTATTTAGGAAATATTGTAGGACTTCCCCCCAGCAAAATTCTTAAACATTATTAATAGATTTACTGCGGGGGGGGGGGGGGGGGAAGGGGTGGAATCTTCATAAAAAAAAAAAACATGGAGAAATAAGCAAATAGGTTTGTAAATTTCCAGTTACTGTTTTGACATTTACACATATAAAATTGGCATTTGGTCACACTATTTGGGATAAAATTACAATGGCTAGTGGTCCCATTTTTTGTTCATTTCATTTTCATGTTCCAGAGACATGTCAATTTATACTATTGCTATAATGAGTTTCTGTTGTTTAACTTGCTGTGAATCCCTATATATCAGTGCAGGTTACTCCACTGTGGAGCACCTGCTAGACTAGCTTTTAGAAAAAGTGTAACAAAGAAAGGAGGTGGTGTTGCATAATAGAATCATAGAACTGGAAGGGACCTCGAGAGGTCATCTAGTCCAGTCTCCCGCACTCAAGGCAAGACTAAGTATTATCTAGACCACCCCTGACAGGTGTTTGTCCAATCTGCTCTTAAAAATCCCTAATGATGGAGATTCCACAACCTCCCTGGGCAATTTATTCTAGTGCTTAACCACTCTCACAGTTAGGAAGTTTTTCCTAATGTCCAACCTAAACTGCCCTTGCTGCAATTTAAGCACATTGCTTCTTGTCCTAGCCTCAGAGGTTAAGAGGAACAATTTTTCTCCCTCCTCCTTGTAACAACCTTTTATGTACTTAAAAACTGTTATCATGTCCCTTCTCAGTCTTCTCTTCTCCAGACTAAACAAACCCAATTTTTTCAATCTTCCCTCATATGTCATGTTTTCTAGACCTTTAATCATTTTTGTTGCTCTTCTCTGGACTTTCTCCAATTTGTTCACATCTTTCCTGAAATGTGGCACCCAGAACTGGACACAATACTCCAGTTGAGGCCTAATCAGCGCGGAGTAGAGCGGAAGAATTACTTCTCATGTCTTGCTTACAGTATTCCTGCTAATAAATCCCAGAATTATGTTTGTGGGTTTTTTTGCAACAGCATTACACGGTTGACTCATATTTAGCTTGTGATCCACTATGACCCCCGGATCCCTTTCTGCAGTACTCCTTCCTAGGCAGTCATTTCCCATTTTGTATGTGTGCAACTGATTGTTCTTTCCTAAGTGGAGTACTTTGCATGTGTCCTTATTGAATTTCATCCTATTTACTTCAAACCATTTCTCCAGTTTGTCCAGATCATTTTGAATTTTAATCCTGTCCTCCAAAGCACTTGCAAGCCCTCCCAGCTTGGTATCGTCTGCAAACTTTATAAGTGTACTCTCTATGCCATTATCTAAATCACTGATGAAGATATTGAACAGAACCGGACCCAGAACCGATCCCTGCAGGACTCCACTCGTTATGCCCTTCCAGCATGACTGTGAACCACTGATAACTACTCTCTGGGAATGATTTTCCAAGCAGTTATGCACCCATCTTATAGTAGCTCCATCTAGGTTGTATTTTCCTAGATTGTTTATGAGGAGGTCATGCAAGACAGTATCAAAAGCCGTACTAAAGTCAAGATATACATCTACCGCTTCCCCTCTATCCACAAGGCTTGTTACCCTGTCAAAAAAAGCTATCAGATTCGTTTGACATGATTTGTTCTTGACAAATCCATGCTGACTGTTATTTATCACCTTATTATCTTCTAGGTGTTTGCTAATTGATTGCTTAATTATTTGCTCCATTATCTTTCTGGGTACAGAAGTTAAGCTGACTGGTCTGTAATTCCCCAAGTTGTCCTTATTTCCTTTTTTATAGATGGGAACTATATTTGCCCATTTCCAGTCTTCTGGAATGTCTCCCGTCTTCCATGACTTTTCAAAGATAATTGCTAATGGTTCAGATATCTCCTCAGTCAGCTCTTTGAGTATTCTAGGATGCATTTAATCAGGCCCTGGTGATCTGAAGACATCTAACTTGTCGAAGTAATTTTTGACTTGTTCTTTCCCTATTTTAGGCTTTGATCCTACCTCATTTTCACTGGCATTCGCTATGTTAGACGTCCAATCACCATTAACCTTCTTGGGGACTTCAACAGCTGAGTCAAGGGAGAGAATTATTCAAAGAGTGGGTGGGTCAGCTTTTGTGGCCTGCATCATGCAGGAGGTCAGACTAGATGATCATAATGGTCCCTTCTGACCTTAAAGTCTATGAGTCTATAAGTCATTAAGCACCTCTGCCATTTCCACATTTTCTGTTATTGTCTTTCCCCCCTCATTTAGTAACAGGCCTACTCTGTCATTGGTTTTCCTCTTGCTTCTAATGTATTTGTAGAATGTTTTCTTGTTTCTTTTTATGTCCCTAGCTAGTTATACATTATACATCAAGAATATTTACACTTGTACTGAGGTCCACAAGGAGGTGACAGGCAGACCAGTAGAAAATCTCTGGGTGAAGATAAAAGAGGGAAAAAACCATGGAGCAATGTCATACTGGGGGCAGGGGCGGCTCTATGTTTTTTGCCACCCCAAGCATGGCAGTCAGGCGGCCTTCAGCGGCATGCCTGCGGGCGGTCCGCGGTCACGCGGATTCGGCGTCGTTTCTGCAGGTGATCTGCTGGTCCCGCAGCTTCGGCGTACCTGCTGCCGAATTGCCACCGAAACCGCGGGACCGGTGGACCTCCCACAGGCATGCCGCCGAAGGCCGCCTGACTGCTGCCCTCAGAGTGACCGGCTGGTGCCTGGAGCCGCCCCTGCTGGGGGGGGGGGTCTACTACAGACCACTAAATCAGGATGAGGAGGTAGACGAGGCATTTAGAGAAAAAACAACAGAAATATCCAAAACAGAAGTAATGGAGGAATTTAACTACTCAAACATCTGTTGGGAAAGTAACATGGTAAAACGCAAAATCTCCTATAAAGTTCTTGGAATGTACTGGGGACAATTTCTCACTTCAGAAGCTGAAGAAAGTAACTGCTGGGCAACCATTTCAGACTTGAAACTGAATAACAATCAGGAATTGGTTGGGAATCTCAAGGTAGAAGGGTGAAAGTGATCATCAAACGATAGATTTGGTTATTCTAAGGAAACAAAGGAATGAGAACTGCAGAAAAAGGACAATGGACTTCAAAAAAAGCAAACTTTAACTAACTCAGAGAACTGGTAGGTAAGGTCCCCTGGGAAGAAAATCTAAGGGGGAAAGGAGTTCAGAAGAGCTGGCAGTTTCTCAAAGAGACAAATTAAAAGTGCAACAGCAAAGCATCCTGATGTGAAGGAAAGATACAAAGAATAGTGAGAAACTGACATGGCTCCATCATGAGCCCTTTAATGAGCTGAAAACCAAAAAGGAATCCTACAAAAAGTGGAAACATGACCAACTTGCTGAGGATGAGTACAAAAGAATAGCACAAGCCTGTAGGGAGAAAATCTGAAAGGCTAAGGCATTTGATGAGTTACACCTAGAAAGAGACAAAATAGGCTATAAGAAGAGGTTCTATAAATAAATTAAAGCAAGAGAAAGGCAAAGGAAAGTGTAGGTCAACTACTTAGCAGGGAAGTAGAAATAACAACAGATGACATTAAGAAGGCTGAGAAGTTAATGCCTAACTTTGCTTCAGTCTTCACTAAAATGGCCAGCAGTTGAACATGGGTCAGTGGTAAATTGTGACAAGATGCTTAAAACAATTAGGGGAAGGAACACAAGCTAGGTTAGGGAAAGAACAAGTTAAAGAATATTTAAATAATGAGATATATTCAAATTGGCAGAGCCTGACAAAATTTACACTAGGGTATTTAAGTAACTAGCTGAAGCAATCTTGGAACCATTAGCAATTATCTTTGAGAGCAAAGTGTGGCCTCACCACATATACCAAGGCACAGTCTTATAGATGTCTCCATCCTGGAGGAATCCAATACCATGGGAATTTCTATAGCTGCAGTAAGAACTGGACAACTGACTGTAATGAATATATCATATGTATTCCACACTATCATAGGTTTATCAGGATGTTCAGTAATATATAAACTTCTCTTATCATCATTGTAACCACTGCAAGACCAGAGTTACTATTTCCCAAGTAGCTAAAAAAAAACCTTCATGTAACCAAGAAACTTGGTTGGGTGGATTGTATTTAAATCAGTGTTATTCTAGGACATACTCATTTTTTTCTTTTATCACTATCTTCATCATCTAGTCTACTTCATTTTAGGGTATATGTCCACACTGCAATTGGCAGTGTAATTGCAGCATGGGTAGACATTCCTGCACTAGCACAGCTAAAAATAACACTGTACATGCAGGAACATGGGCTTCAGCACAGGTTAGCAACGTGTGTACATAGCCAGGATTCCTGGCATACTTTTATAACACACACTGATGCAACTGCCCCCATATCTACACTGCTATCTTTAGCCATGCTAGTGTGGGTATGTCTTCCCAAGCTGCAATCACACCTCAGATTGCATTTTGGACATACCGCTAGAGCTTATTCATGGGGCTACCCCTTCTGATCATTCTGACCTTTTTCCATTAAGTTGTTTTCCTGAGGTCAGACATTCCAATGGTGTTTATCCCTAGTGATTTTATCTTGTTTAAACCAGTTTTGAGCATAAGGAGATTCCTTCTTCTCTCCTTCAAAGTTACAGGAGATGTGATCATGCACTTTCAAGCACTTTTACTCTCAAGAGTGTAATTCAAAGGGACAATATTTTGTTCAGGTATCATCAACTTGCTTTTGTCACAAATATGGCAGACTCTAGTTCTGGAAACACACGATTGGTTAAAATGACTAAGTTTGTTCATTGACGACAACAAAAGCCAAGATACCCAGGGGTGTCTGAAACTAGTTATTTATTGTATAGTACAAGCAAAACAATACACAAAAGGCAATGGTCACGATTAATAGAGTAAACAAAACACCAAATTTCAGACTCTGTTTGACCCTTCAGTTCATAGCATAATGGGGTCCTGGTCTAGGAC